TTAATAGATTGAATACTTACATCAAATGTTTGAAAAAATCTTTAAATCTTTCATCTAAAGTGAATGTTATCACTTATTGTATATCCCTTTGCTAGATGCTTTCTTCTTGGATCTCCATCTACTCGGTAATGGTTTTGCCTTTAGAAATCACTCATAAGCCTCCGTGAATGACCTTGGAAAGATAGGCTTGTGGGAGCCTCCATTAGATGAGAACATGAACCCTAGAATTCTAGAAAGAGAAAATATATTCTTGTCCTCTCAAAAACAATCTCTCCTAAAATATACATGGACCTATGTATATAAAAGCAAAAGAAAGATAAGGAAAGTAAACATTAAATCCTTCTCAATCTCTAATTCACATGTCTCAAATCTAATAGGATTCCAATATCAAGTTGGGTTATGAGTGAGAATCCTTTGGGCTTATTGTTTTATTGGTTATAATGAATTAATAATTAGTCTGGTCCATGGACTCAATTAAATTAATTCATTAATTAATTTTTACTCCACTAAAAGAAATTAATTGAACTCCAATTAAATAATAAATATCTCTAAGTCAATGTTGCACTTTGACTCCTCTATGCATAATTAGTTATCGGATAAATAAAGCCATCAATCTGACTACTTAATTAACATATTTATTTTGGTACCTTTGATTATTTCTGGCTCGATCACAATAAAACATTTGTTTGACAAAAATAATAATTTAAATAAATAAATATATAATAAATCATTTTGTCTAAAAACACACGAAGGCCTTCGAATTTACTTTATGATCAACCATAATCAATACAAAATAAATACAAGTAGCAATGATGCAAATATTGAAAATATGACCCCCTAACTATTAATTACATAATTACCCAAAGTGCCAGTTTAAGGATTCCAAAGATTCCGCCGAACAAATCAAAGTAATTACAAATTAATAAAAGAGACTATACTTCTCTCATGCTTAAGAGTCAAATGTCATGACAGTGATAGGGAGCAATTACATACGACGGCTCTCGCAATATATCTCAACCTAACGCGGATCCAGTTCAAGTCTTAGTTAATAATGAGTCCATCCATAATTACCGACTATAAACAATTTATGATTACTATTTATATTCATGTATTGATCGCCAACACATACAAATATAAATATCTCTTGTAATCAAATAGACACTATCAATTCCATAATGAATCGAAACATAATACATTAAATTCACCAATTATAAATCATAAATATCTCAGATATGTCAGGAATATATGTCACTATAATCCAAATAGGAATTTGCTATGCCAGGGCACATAAATCCCATCGAATAGTACGTACGATTACTGTATTATTGGAAGAAACAATTGATTCTAACTGACGCCTTTCCAAGTTACTAAAAGGTGGCTTTCAGATTTCTGACTACTGGTACTACAGACAATTGGTTCTATGAATAGTGACCTTACTCCTCTTCTTTTCTGTCTTATTAGTTCTGCCATGAGAGAGAGAGAGAAGTTATATATACCTATTGTTATAAATTATGATGATCAAAATAAAACTTTAAAGAATAAAATATCAAAAAAAAATTCTGAAAACTTAAAACAATAAAATTATTTTATTGGAGGTGCCTAAAATAAAATTATACAAGTATGAGTTGATTCAGTTGTATAACCATATGGAGAGAGAGAGAGAGAAGTTATATATACCTGTTCAAGTTTTCTTTGTGTTGCAGTCTTAAAGATCAGAGTATATAGAATAGCAATATAAAAAAGATGCAAGCCGGAGTAACATAAAAATGGTACAGGAAGAGGAGATAGAAGATGAAAATGGCGCAGGCTGGAGCTCTTCTGAAAATGGTGGCATGTAAGAATGGTACACGAGATGTGCTTTGAGCCACAAAATATGTTACAATAGCATTTTATAACCTGACTAAGCCATCACCCCCAAACAGCCTTTTCATTGATATAAAATCTAATATTATATATTAAGTTAGCATTTAATTTGATTGATTCAAACAATTTTTGTACCCATGTGATGATGTAAAGTTAGTCACAAAATTACTGTAAGTTAGTAAGCTAACTAATTTCTATAACTAAGTTAGTAAGTTAGGTATAGTTACTACATTAATTTAATAATAAATATTTCATTTCAATACCTATAGTCTAAACAATTATTCTTAATGAAATATTTCATCATTCAATTAGTCATTGTGATTAAATTCGAGAGGTTTGCTGGAAACAGTCACCTAAGGCGATTATTGATATCAGTCGCGTGATTTTATTGGTCAATTTTCAGCCCACTATTACAAGTCAATTATTTTACTCATTGACTTTCTTGGTTCTAAAAACTTAGTTTGGAGATCTAAAAAGTGGTTTATTTATATTTTAATTGTATTATTTTATGAAAAACACTATGAAAAGAGTCTTTTTAGTTACAATCGGTCAATGAGACGTTATAGTAAAATCAAATTACTTATTTGCCCTTAAATTATTTTCTAACTTAAGATACTGACGTGGCAATTATATTCCCGTAATAATAATTTCACCAAATCCACCAAATGATCAGAAAAAAATGAAAATAAAATGCACTATATGATATCTATAATTGTGTTCCTTCCATTATCATCTTCTTCTATAACAAACACACATCCTGATTAACCCCAACACGCACTAGTTCTGATCACGCACCAATTCCGATCCACTTTAATATCATTGTTCTTTGCCAAAACTCAAGACCAAGTTCTCGCCCCAATTTGTATGTTCATTCTCACCATATGATATCATCAATGGATCAGAGAGACGATGTCGATTCCCAAAATCATCATCAATGGAGAGAGACCCATCACGCACCAAATTCAATTAAGCCCAATATATAACTTGTTTAAATTGAAACCCATTTTGATATTTTTGAAGGTATAACTTTACAATTTCACTCCCATCTCCTTCAATTTCTTGTTGGTGCTAAGAAATACTGGTGATAAGGTGGAGGATGGTGGTGGAAAAAGAAAGATGAAGGGTAGGGGTGGCCGGATGGACATGGTTGCCGATTGAGCAGCAGTATAATCTTTATATATATATATATATATATATATATATATATATATATATATATATATATATATATAATTGTCCAATTGAGTTGTCACTCTCTTATTTGTGGAGAATTTTATTTATCCACGTGAGTAAAGTTATTCTGAGTTGTCCAATTTTCACTAGACATAGAGATTATAAGAGAAAATAATTTAAAGGCAAATAAGTAATTTGATTTTTTCCATAATGTCTCCTTGACGGATTGTAACTCAAAAGATTATTTTCAAAGTGTGTTCCATAAAATAATATAATTAAAATATAAATAAATCACTTTTTAGATTTCCAAACTAGATTTTTAGAACCAAGAAAGTCAATGAGTAAAATAGTTGACGTGCAATAGTGGCCTCAAAACTGACCATTAAAATCACGCGACTGATAGCAACAGTTGCCTTAGGCGACTGTTGTTAGCAAACCTCTAAATTCGAATAGGCAAAGTAATAATAATTAGCAAAAAATCATCTAAGTGATTAAATTCGAATAGGCAAAGTAATAATAATTAGCAATAAATCATCTAAGTGATTAATTCATCATCTAACTCAATTGATTACTATAGTCTCTCAATTACTATATAATTATCTATTGATTAGTATAATTTCATTAGTTATCTATTGGTTACTATGTCTCATATATGCATGGACTCAATTACTATATAGTTATCTATTGATTAGTGATTACTATAGTCTCATTAATGAACTATTGATTACTATAGCCTCATAAATTCAATTATTATATACTCATTTATTCATTACTATAGTCTCAATAGTAATGTATTGATTATTATAGTCACATAGTTCAATTACTATATAGTTATCAATTGATCAGTGATCACTATAATCTCGTTAGTTAACTTTTAATTCCATGTGTTTAATTAGATAGTTATATAGGATCACTATACTAGTATAGCTTCCTTAATTCAATGTGTTTGATTATATAATTATATATAGATTACTATACTAGTGTGTGATTTTTAATTCCATGTCTTTAATTATATAGTCATATTGGATTACTATACTATTTTATCCTCCTTAATTCAATGTGTTTAACTATATAGTTATATATGGATCATTAAACTCGTATGAGATTTTTAATTTCATGTGTTTAATTATATAGTTATATAGTATCACTATACTAGTAAAACCTCCTTAATTCAATGCATTTAATTATATAGGTATATATAGATCACTATACTAGTGTGAGATTTTTAATTAAACGTGTTAAATTATATAGTTATATAGGTAATAGGATCACTGTTAGTGTAGCCTTCTTAATTCCATGTATTTAATTATATAGTCATTTAGGATTACTATACTATTATAGCCTCCTTCATTCAATGTGTTTAATTATATAGTTATATATGAATCACTGTACTAAGTTTGACCTTCTTAATTCCATTTTAATCTGTAGTAATTTATATAATTATCTTACTAATAATTGGATATGTGAGATTTAAATAGAAAAGAAACTTAAGTAATATTACACATTAATCATGTTTAAGGGTATAAATAATTAAACACATTGAATTATATTTATTTTTTGTAGGATATTTATACCCTTAAACATGATTAATGTGTAATAAGAAAATTATATAGCAATAAGTGGGTGTGTAAGCTACCGAGCTTTAAATATGGGATAAGAAGTTAATTAATTTAAATATAATGTATATAATATTTTTTAGAATATTTATAAACCTCAAACATGATTAGTAATTAATGTGAAATTAGTTTGCTTTCAATATTTTTTATATGAAAGTAATATAAAAAATGCATAATTATTTATTAACCCTTTTTAATGGGTTTATGAGATTTAATTATGAAAAAAACCTTCTATTAGTTTAGATAATACCATCTTTGTCCCATATTAATAGTCCACTATATCATTTTTAGATGTCCCATATTAATTGTCTACTTTGAAAAGTCAAAGTAAATAAGTACACATGTAAAGTTATAAATTATTGCGTATTTTATTGTTACATTGTAACAAAAATAACTTATCTAAATTATTCATTCATTAAATTGAAATTATTATTTTAATGGACAAAAAAGTGATCCACTTGTATAAACAATATAAGTGGGGTTCCTCTTCTCTTTCCATTAGATTGTGTCTGTCGTCGTGATCCTTCTTCTGTGAGCTTTCTGATGCTTCTAAGAAAGAAAACATTGAAATAAAAGTGCTTTGTAAATTAAATTCGTAATACCATGTATATAGACTAGATTTGAGACATGGATTAAAATTGGAATCAATGGAACTCAACTTTCTCGTAGTTTATTTTACTACTCCATGTTCAACAAGAGAATGATTCCGGTCGGAATCCGTGGATTCCGGTGAGAAGCCAGAATTAAAATATTGAGTCCGGCCAAATCCAATGAATCGACAATTGCTCGGTCAATGCCGGAGGGATTAAAATATGAATTCCACTTACCCTTCTTACAATGCTCCCTTGGCGATGGCGATAGAACTCTAAAGGAAAAGAGGGAAAACAAAAAAATAAAATAAAACTGGGGAGAAGATTTTCTATGATGAGTACAAAATTACATAATTGTATTTTTTAACATAAGCAGAGTAATAAATAGTTTTTACTTACCTGATTCCATGAGTTGAATGGGAAATACTAGTATTTTTTCAGATGCTTGAGAGGCCTACGCAAGAAAAAACTGCCAGCGAAGGCGAGCACAGCGACTTGCACATACCACGGGAAATCATTTCCCTCCACTCTCAGAAAAAAAGACGCCACCAAGGCCAAGGACCTAATAAACATGTAAGAGAGCCTGAAATAATTAGAAAGAAAAGAAGGTCAGTTTCTAAGATGGAATTGAAAATGTTGAGTATCCTACATTCCCATCTATTAAGATGGATTGTTGACATTTAATGAAGCTCTCTCTCACACACACAGACATAAATATAGTACTCACCATAATTCAAACTCTGGGAGTTGGCTAATATAGGGCTTGAATTCGTCGGAGGAATATGCCGGGAGAGGCTGTTTGAGAGAATAATTTTTTGGGTAGAGAAATTCTGCAAAATTAAGCAGCAATATAATCCCCGTGCTCATGGTAATAATACTAATTCCGCCAACATAAACAGCCCGAAACAAGTAAACAGCTTCCAAAGAAAATGCCACAATCCATCGCCCGCACTGGATGAATGATAATTTTATCATTCCACCTTTGTAAAAGAGCTGCACAATAACAAGTCAGGCCAATCCATGCTCAACAAACAGCATCCTTAATTCCCTCTGCCCAAGTATTAAAGTTCCTGGACATCAAATGAGTAACAATTAATAATACCCATAGAAGTAAAACTCAAAACCACACCTATTAAGTGTTACTGTTGTGATTATGGGGAAGAAAAAGGAAAGAAAGAAAGAGAGAAAGAAAAAATGTTACTGTTCAGGAAAAAAAATTTAAAAATTAAAGTACCAGCGGAGGGGAATCCTCGCAGAAGATGCAGTTTCCTCAGGTGTACTCACAAGAATAGTCAAGGAGTTCACTTCTTCTTCCCTAAAACCATCCATGAAGAAACAAACATAAGGGTCAATTTATTGAATTGAAAGGGCAAGCCGCAGGCAAAAATTAGATGAACAAACAATAAATAACAAAATTTCAATAATAGTTGAAAGAGAATTTATAAATAAATCAATCAATAAACAAGAACAAAGAAGATTATAATTGGGGTTGATGTTGTGGAATAGTTCTTTTCGATCAACTGACCTATTATTACTTTATCGCACAACCATTGAGACCAAACCAGGTCAGATCAAAAGAGAAAAAGGGAAAAGAACGACGAAAAAGTGTTACCTGGAACCATCACCGCTCGTCGCCGCAGAACAAGCAGTGTCCTCAGGTCCATTCAGGGAAATAACAAAGTTCTTTACTTTTTCCCGGTTGCATCATCACCCATGAAAACAAGCATAAGGTAAATTAATTTAATTGAAAGGAATTAGATGAACATCAATATGTAAACAATGGTAGAAGTATATAATCAGAAATTTTTTAAATAAATCAATAATTAAACAAAAACAAAAATAAAGAAACTTAGTACTATTAATTTATATTTAGGGTTGACGGGGCCGGATTGGAATAGTTTTTTTTGGGATCAATGGAATTAAGAAACATGAAAAAATGGTATTGTTACTTCCATCATACCACCACCGAAACCAAAGCAAGCCACCGCTGCCAACAACCCTTCATGGTTATCCAAGCCCCTTGCCTTCCGTTTCCGATCGAAAGAGGAATAGGAAGAGAGAGAGAAAAAGGAAAAGGAAAAAGGACGAAGAAGAAGAGTTACCTGTCACCATCATCACTCGTCGCCGCCGTTTCCTTGCCGCCGTCCCAGTACAACTGCACAAGCCAACTACAAATAAAGTGGAATGGAATGTTTTTAATTCCATTCTTTTGTTTAGAAATAATTTTAAAGATGAAATATCTTTTCTCCACTTTTCATGAAGGTCATTCCATCAAAATCCTAATTAAAAAAATACGAAGTAAAAATAATATTAAAAAATACTTTATTTTAACAATGTGATTGTTAATACATTTTTTTCAAATAACGAGATTTAATAAAAGTCAATTTTTTCTTAATATTTTCTCCTTAATTTCTAAATATATATCGAAAATATATATTTACACATATATATATTTATTTATTTATTTGGTTTACATATACATGTATATATATGAGTCCTGATCTCAATTAATCCACACTTTCTATATAGATCGTTAGATTAAATTTAATGGTTATTTTTCAAATCCACCTATAGTCTTTCCTTTTAACACAAAACCACTCACACCCAATTTTTAGTTTATATATTTAATTTACTATTACCACCTACCGTAATAATAAAAAATAATTACCAAAATAAAAATAAAAACGTTTGAAAAAAAAAATAATACCAGTATATTTTACTAAAAATTTGTTTTTATTTATTTTTCAATTTTGCAACAACAATATGATATTATATAGCCTTTTCCTAATAAATATATTGTTGTTCTCAATCTAAGGAAATTAATATACTTCTCTAGTATAAGTAAATTTATCAATAAATATAATGTAATGTTACATTTTGGAATATTGAATTGATTTATTGGAATTGAAATTGAAGAAAATTTCATTTAAAGTTTGAACAAAAGTTCTTTCTATTTCAATTTTAAGTTGGGCATTTGGTGAAATTCATTATTGAATGTGTAAATTTGTGAGACTATGGTGGGACTGTAGAATCCATCTCAGAAACAACAAGTAACCCAAAAAAATGGGTGAAGCTCTTCTCACAACCTTATCTATGTGGAGTAATCATTTGTCCTTAGCCTGCGATTACCGCCTAATCCCTATCAATTTTCTTCTAATTCTTCTATATTTGACATAAACGTGAAAAATAGAGGTGTAAAATATAGGTGAAGTTCACCGCAAAGATATTTCTTTTAAAGAAACATCTAAATAAAAACAAATTTTTAGTAAAATATAGTGTATATTGTTATAATAAGTGGTAATAGTAAAATTAAATATAGAAATTAAATATAAGATGAGAGTGGTTTTGTGTTAAAAGGAAAGGTTATAGGCGAGTTTGAAAATTAACCGTCAGATTAGGTCTATATGGAACATGTGGATTATTTTTCTTACTCGAAGAGCAAGAGATTAGGACTCATATATATATATATATATTAGTTTTCATTTTTAAGCCATGCATAACTAAACAAAAGAAGAGTCGTTCAATTCCTTGTTTCATTCCATTTTTACTTTATTTTCATTCTTCTATACTAAACTAGCCCTTATTGTCTTGGTTTCAACTTTTGATGGACTTGGACCATTTGTTTTAACAGCTTTTGGGCTTCGTCTGGTGTAATGGGCTTTGCCCTACCTATATCGTTGTACAGTTATCCAATCAATACAGCTTAACTTTCGAAATATATATATATATATTTTCTTCCTATTATTTCTACCCTCTTTCTTCGTTATTGCCAAAGGACCACCGAAGTTATGATCTAATGTAAGTAAGTCAAGGCCATCGTTATGTTTTTGAAATGTCACGTCAAATAGATAGACCCAATCTTCTTGGTGGATATCAAGACAAAACAGAGTTGATTACTTGATTTAGACTGAATTTCGAGGAAGCCGGATTCTCTCGTGTGAAAGAAATTCTGTCTTTGGTTCCCTAGATTATTTAGTGCAATATAAAAAATTATCAAACATACAATAGATATATATATAAATTAGTATTATTTTATAAGTAATGTAATATACAAGAAGGTTCTTATGCGGTCCAAAATAACAAACTTTTTAACAGATTAAGAGTCAATTAAGAAAATTACACTTTATTACTTTATTAAACCTAACCATAGTTAATTTACCATAATCGTATTTGTGACATAAAATTTGAGGAAAATATAATGAGTGAAAACGTAAATGGGAATAAAAGCGAGCAAATTGCCGGAATTTGGAGATTTTTCTTATTTCTGTCTCAGTATTGAGCTATGGAGTTCCAGAAAACCCAAATTTAGAGACATTTTATTGTTTCCATTGCAAGATTAAGCAATATATGCTTTCTATTTGAGACTCCGTGATTGAAGGTTGTGCTTATTCACTAACCCTAAAAAATTGGCATCCTTTGAACAAAAAAAAAATCTTATTTATGAAGTGTGGAATAATGGGTCGACGAAAAAAATAAAAAATAAATAAGAGAGCAACAGTTGGGCAATCAAGGTTAAAAAAAAAAAAAGGGAGAGAGCAAAAAAAAATAATAAAAATAAATAAATAAATCAAAGAGCAAAAAGAAGAGAGAGAAAGAGATAATGACCTATATCCGATTTTGGAAAATGAATATGGTAGTTGTGGTAGTTGTGTTGTGGCTGTAGCGGTGAAGATGGTGGCTCTGTGATAGTATGAATATGGCGGTAGTGATTGAGATTACAAGGACGATAGAAGAGATTAAGGAGAGAGAGATTGAATAAAGGTACTGGCTAATTATGGTAAATTAACTATGGTTAAGTCTGATAAAGTAATAAAGTATAATTTTCCTAATTGACTTTTGATCAGTTGAAAAGTTCGTGGTTTTATTCACTAGTAAGAGAATTAAAGAGAATTCAAGTTTGTATTTGAAGAGTAGTTGAAATTGTTTTCATCAGTGAAACTTATCCTCGTTTTTGTAAAGATTATTTAGTGCAATATATATATGTTTTTAAAATTATAGTGCAATACATAATATGCAATAACTAAATATAAAAAATTATTGCTTTACAAATGATGTATGAGCATCTCCAGCGGTATGTTAAAAAATTTTTTTTTGTAAAATATACACTATCACGTATAATTTATAATTTTTTTTCATTTCTAACCATCTGTTAAGATACACTGCCACATTACCAATGTGTAAAAGGGTTGTGTATTTTACACAGCCCTTTTACATAGCCACGTAACCATATTTTCTCTCTCATCCCCTTTCCCTCTCGAGGTTTTTTTCCTTCTCTCTCATTCCTTTAAGCCTTTTTGTTTCCCACTTTTAGAGGCCCATAGAGAAAAATCTGCAACTGGCGACAAGGTAAAACCTATTTGACCATCTTTTACTTTTCTTTTTTCTTTTTTAATAAAAATAGTTTGATTCATCACTTTCGTTTCATCTTATCTTCTGTAATCATCGCTGTAGATTCTAGGATTTTTTTTTTATATATATTTTTTTATCCTTTTACATTCTATTCTAATGAGATGAATATGTACTAACCAAGATTAGATATATATTTTGATAGTTATAAATTTTTTTTTTCTTTTTTGGTGATTTGTCAATTTAATCGCAATTGTTGTTGCATATTTTTGGTTTATGTAGAAAGTAAAATATTGGGAAAAATTATTATTTTTTTCTTAATTGAAGAGGATTGGGACGTGAGGCTTAACGGCAAAAAAGTAAATGAATCAAGTAAGTTTGTAAATATTATATAGGGCATTGGATATGACATGTGGTTGGTTATTATTGGAGGATATTTTTTTACACAAAAGGTATAAAATAACCGTTGGAGCTAAAAATAGGTAGTACAAAAATTTTGTATAAATTTACTCGACAGATCAGATTTACACAAAACATATACACAACGGTTAGAGATGCTATAAGGTATTCAACTACTCTTAAAATGATTTAAGATATTCAAGTTATTCAACAACTCTTCAAATTAGTAGTTGAATACGTTCGTCACTTAGGGCCTGTTTAGTTATATGAATTAATTTTTTATTTCTATTGTCAATTCCTAAAATAGGATTCAAAAGCCAAAATCATGTTTAGTAAAATATTTTTACTTTTTAACTTTAAAGTACTTTCTAATTTTGTGAAGAGAAGAGAATTATTTCCTTTTACTTCATTTTACTGTAGCACTCAGATTTGTTCTCTCTCTACTAGTTTAACCATAAGCGAAGCCAATTTGGCTGAAAGTATATGAACGGGGGCGGCTAGCAGTGACTCCAAGTGAAGCTGGACTGAACTTACCGGTGGACTAAACGGTGACGAGGCTATGACAATACGTGCAAGGAATCCGGCAATTGGGCATCGGAGAGGGAGACCCAAATTCGCATCCACAAGCAACTCATACTCCAAAGTTCTATTCCCAATCCGTTTGTCCATGGATTCCGGCATCGGAGAGGGAGAGAGTTTGTGGTTTTCATGGATTCTGGCATAGGCAAACAGTATATAGAGAGAGATTGCTAAGGATGAGGCACTTCATCATCTCTATTTCTATGGCAAATTGAGCAAGTTTCTTAGGTGGGTTTTCAGTTAGACTCAAGTTTTGGTGTTTTCTCTGTCTGGAGATTGTTGAGGATGGTGTCAATGACATGCCACAATCTTGAATTTGGTCGAACTGGGTTGGATTTGATTGCTTGTGGGTGTTTTTCTAATGCTTCGTTTGGTCGATCTTCAGTAAGAAACTATGCAAACTGCAAAGGGAATGTTTGGGAGTGGTGGTGGAGGCCATGGGGCTCGGAAATTGGTGAGATGCCGGCGTGACACTGCTCGGTGCCGCGTGTTTTCGACAAAGAGCCTAGAGACTCATCATAATCAAACCCAGATTAAATATATATATAGAGAGAGTGAGAAAGATAAAAAAAAAAAAAAAACAGAAAAAAAAATTTAGAGAGAGAAAGATAACAGGAAAGCAAAATTAAAATTAAAATTGAAATAATTAAACTTACTTTCTGCTTTTTACTTTCAAAATATTAAAAATAAAATCTTCTTATTAAACATCATTTTACTTTTGAAAAAAAGTAAAAGTAAGAAAGTGAAACTTAGTAAACGGGCCAACCCTTAACGTGTGTATGTGTGCGCGCGACTTGTATTATGTGAAGTCTTTTCAATTAATAGATGCTTGGAAAAATACGACATGAAACTCATTGTCTGATCTATATATAAGTCAGGGCTAATAGCCCTCTCTCAAGCACAAACCCAACCTTTCTCTTTCTTTTTTTCTTTTTTTCCTTTTCTTTTCTTTTCCTTTCCATTGATTTGATCAAAACTGTTTGAGCTTTAAAAATGGCAGCTTCCTGTGTTTACGATGTCTTCTTGTCTTTCAGCGGCTTTGATACTCGCAAGACATTTACTGGTCACCTCTTGGATGCTTTGGATAAGCATGGTTTTAGCACATTCAGAGATGACACTAAACTCCCAAGAGGTGAAGAAGTTGGTCCTGAATTGTTGAAAGCAATTGAGGAATCAATAGTTTCCGTTATCGTAGTCTCGAAAAACTATGCATCCTCGAAATGGTGCCTTGATGAGCTTGTCAAGATCATGGATTGTAAGACCACACTCAACCAGATTGTTATTCCCATCTTCTATGATGTTGAACCTTCTAATGTTCTATAATGGTTAAAAAAAAAAAAAAGAGGTTAGATTTTTTGGTGGTGGGACCCACCACCACTTATCTTCATTTTGTGGCGTTACTTCTCTCTCTCCCGATCTGGTTCTCTCCCCTCTTTTCTGTTTTTTTTTGTTCTTTTCTTTTTTTTCTTTGCAACATTCAAGCTTCAATTTCTCTTTCATTCCTTGGAGTTTTTGGGTGCCGTTTGCGGCAAATCGAAGAGCTCGGTGAGATCTTCAAGTTGATGTAAGCAATTTCAGCTTTTGGCCACTCTAAGATTCCGAAAATTTGAACCCATTGGAGGGTTTTCTACAAAATTGAGGTAGGGGTGTTCTAATACCCATTTCTTTAAGCTTTGTGAGTAAATCTTCTTTAATTGATGTACAAACATGCTTATATTGTGCTAAATTCTTGAGACGAAATTTATATATTGTATACATGAATTTTTTTTTTATGTTGTAGAAAGTGTGTGATTATGTAATAGCTGCCTTGTTGAGATGAAACATGCTTAAATGATGTTAATTTAAGCCTTATGTATTTAAGTTGTTGGATTTGCAAATTGAAAGTATGAAAAATGCCATGAATTCGAAATGTGAGAATGTGTTATTGTGTGCAAATTCATATTTTAAACATGTCTAATTTATGTGGATGACATGTACAAAATTTTTATATTGTCATAACATTGAAGGAATTGCATAATTCATGCATTACCATTGGGAAAGTAAAGGGAAAAATTTATTTTAAAAATAAATGAAATTATTTTTGGGAAAATATTTTCATAGGTATTTGCGAAAACCGGATGCCTAGGAGGCGCCTATTGGTCCGTGTAGTCTAGAAGGAAGTATGATTGAGCTAATTAGGCTGGATGTGATGTCTTAGAGGTGCCTTATGGTCGTGGATAGTTAGTCAACCCTCCATTCGTGACGCCTTGGAGGTGCCTTGGGTCGGATTGCACTAACGGTTTGGAAGTTGAAACGGAAATGTTTCAGAAATGGCGAGTGACATGAGCATGGCATTGCACTTCATTGGCATACATAGTGTATTTGTGACTGGGATGACATTTGTGTTTATATTGAATGTTGTGGTTATGGTTTACATCCCCGGTATAGTATAAACCCGTTTTCATGCTTTCTAAGTAGATATTGTATAAGGTTAATTAAGAAAATATCTTATTTATCTTCCAAATCCCGTCAAATCCTGCCGTTTTAGATAGGATTTGAAACACATCAAAAATAATATTTGAAATCCCATAACTTTAAAATCCCATTCACAATCCAATCATTCCAAACACTGTAAATCCTATTTATAAATCCAAATCCCATCAAATCCAGCATTCCAAACACAGTGTTAATGGTAAGGCGAGAAAGCTGACGCTTGTTTGAATATACGCTACAGATGAAGAAAACTTCAACAAGAACGGCCTCTGCTTTCTCATCAAGTTTTCGTACGAAATCGACTCCTTTAACAAATGCCCTATACTCAACTCTCCGGTAGAGTTGGGGGTCGGTTCTATCGAGACAGAGAGTGACGAGGAGAAGAGGGTTTGGTTCTTCGAATTGACTTGCCAGTTGGCTCATTCGACCTTGACTCATAAATCAATTGTAATTCCTGACACTTGAAGGTGAGGCATATTTTTATAGGACATTTTTGTAAACCCTTCTGTCTCCACATAATAATATTATTTTATGCCTGGACTCATGCAACACGTTTTGGATAAAATTGAGAAAAATATGCCTGTTTCATTTTTGACTATTTTCCAGTGAGATTGTGGCCAAGTTCTTTCTTTTTGACGAATTGTTTGAATTATGGGTAAAAGATTTAAACACCGAGGTTTGGGGAAATATATATATATATATATATAATAGGAAAGAGTGTTCAAATGAAGTACCTTGTTAAATTGGGATTTGTTTGATTTTTATTTATAAAAAAAAAAGAACAACCTGAGATTTTTGAAATATGAATGAAAATTTCCAATAAAATAATGTTGGATTATGTCATTTTATAAAAATAAATATTAATTAATATTTGCGTGCGTCTTTGCCTATGTTTAGACAAAGAGTATCCAGAGCAGTGTACAATGAATGCTAAAATCATAACAGGGTCATGTTTGGCAAAACACACTATTCACTATTACAAGTTCTGCAGCATTTAATATTGATCTCTGATACAGTTGTTAAAATTACATAAAGAAATTCGAATTGAAACTAAAGAATAATTGAATTGAAACTAGTAGCAACAAGCACCAAACTTTAAACTCACTCTCTCTCACCTCTCATACAGAGCACGCAATAGTAATTAAAAATAGCTACACCAAAAACGCACAAGTAGTGGTAAACAAAAGGATGTCCTGTAAACTTAGTCATATAACATTATGGTTATTTAATTTTAACCAGCTAAATATAACATATTTCTATTGGGATTTATATGCCCTGACATAACAAATTCCTATTTGGATTAAAGTGACATAAGTTCCTGACGTTTCTGAAATATTTATGTTTTATACAATTGGTGAATTCAATGTATTATGTTTCGATTCATTATAAAATTGATAGTGTCCACTTGATTACAAGAGATATTTATATATGTATGTGATGACGATCAATACATGAACATAAATAGTAATCATAAATGGTTTATAGTCGGTAATTATGGATGGACTCATAATTGATTAAGACTTGAACTGGATCCGCGTTAGGTTGAGATATATTACGAGAGCCGTCGTATGCAATTGCTCCCTATCACCGTCATAGCATTTGACTCTTAAGCATGAGAAAATTATAGACTCTTTTATTAATTAATAATTACTTTGATTTGTTCGGCGGATTCTTCGGGATCCTTAGACCGACATTTTGGGTAGTTATGTAATTAATAGTTAGAAGGTTATATTTTCAATATTTGCATCATTGCTACTTGTATTTATTTTGTATTGATTATGGTTGATCACAAAGTAAATTCGAAGGCCTTCGTATGTTTTTAGATAAAATGATTTATTATATATTTATTTATTTAAATTATTATTTTTGTCAAACAAATATTTTATTGTGATCGAGCCAAAAATAATCAATGGTACTAAAATAAATATATTAATTAAGTAGTCGGATTGATGGCTTTATTTATCCGATAACTAATTATGCATAGAGGGGTCAAAGTACAATATTGACTTAGAGGTTATTTATTATTTAATTGGAGTTCAATTAATTTCTTTTAATGGAGTAGAAATTAATTTATGAATTAATTGAATTGGGTCCATGAACCGAGCCAATTATTAATTCATTGTAGCCAATAAAATAATAGGCCCAATGGATTCTCACTCATAGCCCAACTTGATATTGGAATTATATTAGATTTGAGACATGTGAATTAGAGATTGAGAAGGATTAGTTGTTTCCTTTTCTTTACTTTTATGTTGCCTATAAATATACATGGTCTATGTATATTTTAGGTGTGATTTTTGGAAGAAGGAAAAAGGAATCTATTTTCTCTCTCTAGAAAATTAGGGTTTATGTTTTCATTTAATGGAGGCTCCCACAAGCCTATTTTTTCAAGGTCATTCATGGAGCATATGAGTCATTCCTAAAGGCAAAGCAATTACCAAGAAGATGAAGATCCAAGGAGAATGCATCTTGCTAAAGGATCTACAATAAGTGAGAACATTCACTTTAGAGGAAAGTTTTAAAGGTTTACTCAGACCTTTGATGTAAGTATTCAATCTGTTAATTGAATGATACATCATATTTTATTTTTATATAAAACTTGTCTCTATATGATGAATCAAGATCTATGAATCAAAATCCCTTAAAAAGTTTTAAAACTTGCACGTTTCCCAACAATTTCAACTACGTGTTTCTAGGCTATACATGTGGGGGGTAAGTTTACTAACAATGCCAGCAAAAGGGTGTTACATAGTCAAATAATTCTACCAGAGATCTGTATCAATATCCAAACAATCGAATATATATATATATAAGTAAAAATAAAATAAAAAAATCCTAACCCAATAATCCGTTGGGCCGGCCAAGTTGGACCCGTAGGAGGAGGTCCTTCATAAATTCTTCATTCTGCTTATCATCTGGAGGAGGATGAATAATATCTAAGGCAGTAGTGAGCGAGTGACGTGAGGCATCATATGAGTCCGGATTATTCTCATCGCCTTCGTAAATCAGACTAACCCTTAACCTCTTCACCCATAAACCTTCTCCTGCCGGTTGTGTAATTTGGGACAACTGTTAAAATTCATTAATTGTTTGTGTGCTGCTTTTGATTCAATAATTGATATGTTCTGCAATGATGTGCAGTTGTCTGCCCACAAATACTGCAAATTTACTGGAAGGCTGGGAAGTGATTCAAGCTGAGTACATTTGTGTACAAAGAGAGACTCCAGTCGTGGAAGGCTAGTGATGGTAGCTGGTAGGTTAGAAAATTTGTTTCTGCAAAGATCCAAAAATCCCAAGGACACCAAACTACCAATTTCACTGGCACATTTGTTATATCGCAGTTTTGCATAGATAATTTCCTGATACGACTTAACAATTGTAACAACGAAAAGCTTGATTCAGGTGGCGATCTTCGAAAAAATGCTGGCCACTCTAATTTGGAGCAACCGGACATATTTAAATCAGCGATAGACTTCAACATGAAAATACTTCGGGGAATCTTCTTAAGATGCTTGCAATTCTTTAGATTCAAGACAATAAGGTCTTCCAGACGTCCAATAGTTTGGTGAACCTCTACCAGCTTTTTACAATCATTAAGCAATAATTTCTCAAGACTGGTGAGCCCTATGAGTCCGGAGTTTTAATCAAGAGATAGGAATGACTAAGATTGAGGTATTTCAATTTACACAAAACCTGTTACGAACAGAAAGAGACAACAAATTTTCAAGCATGTCATTGTATACTTTATGTAGTTTAAAGTAGATGATTAAAAAAACAGTAGTATCATCATACCTTTGTTCGTTTCCAAACATGTTTAAGTTTGCAATAGCTCAAGTCAATGGCAACCAAATTATCCATAATTAAGGTTGATGGTATACATTCTAAAGAAAATCCTTTCCAAGACAGCCATACAAGTCTTTTGGAGAGGTGTTTGTAGCTTCCACTTACTTGGACATAATTGAGATGAAGCAATCTCAGGCTCTTCATCTTTATAAATGCCTCCGCATTTACTTGTAGCTCCTCTGATTCTGGCAAGTTCAGGACTAAGCCCAGAACATTTACTGTCCCCTAATGACAATAACAACTGTATATGTAAGTATATATGTGGGTGTGGGTGTGGTGTGCACGTGTGACATTGAATTGAAAATAGGGTCACATACCAGATTGTGAGACTTTCATGATGTGTCATGTGTTATGACATTTTTAAAGTGACAAGATATGTAATTAATTTAGGCATTGGGCTCTTACCGTGTCATATCTTAGTACATCGAGAATGTCTTCATGATACCACAATCTATTACGTTCGCTGGAATTTATAGGGGATTTTTGGCGGACGATCTCTTTTGCCATGTCTTGAGTCAGATCATGCATTATCAGTTGGTTATCCCTATCGATTCTTACAATGCTTATAAGACAGCGATCGGATAGAATGTCAATATCAATATTTGGGTAGAAATCGCAGTCTTTTAGTATTTTGATGGCCAAATCTTGGTCCATTCCAATAAAAAAACATACAATATCTAGGAATAAACCCTTATGTTTATCAATTAGTGAGTTAAAGCTCTGCCTTGGTATATCTTGAACTTTAGGATCAGGAATCTTTTTCAACTTTTCCAATTGAGCTTGCCATTTAGGTACCGCTTTACCCGACAATAAAGAACCTAAAGTTGTAAGAAATAAAGTCAGTCCCTTCGCATAACACAGTTCTGCGTCAGAAATGCTCTCATAACCTTCTAGAGGACAATCTCTTCTAAAGGCATAGCAACTGAAGAGTTGAAGAGATTCCTCCTTATTCAAATTTTTAACTTATACACCTCATTCACTTGAAGTGACTTTATTGTAGATAAATATCTAGTTGTTACTATGATTATACTTCCGGCACGTAACCAATTACGATTTATAGCCAAAACACTCAATTGGCTGTCATTATCCACATTATTGAGAACAAGAAGAACCCTTCGACGCCATGCTCGACATTTTATCACCTCAATTCCATGATCTCCACATCTTATTTTCTCATTTTCATCATTTAAGAGATCCGACATAAGCTGTTTTTGTAATTTAACAACACCGTCGGTATCCCTAGAAGTTCATCCAACATCATGAAGAAAGCTACTGCTTTCAAATGGATGAAAACGATGTATGCGATTATACAGTACTTTAGCAATGTAATCTTACCAATTCCACCAATCCCCACATGGCAATAATCCTAACATCATTACCAATACTATTTGACCCCAACATTAGAAACTTAGTCACTTGTTCAACACTATGCTCTATTCTAACTTGATACTTTGGAGCACTTAAGCCCACAGGATTTAATTTATCTGCCACTCCTTTAACAATGGACTTAATACACGTTGACTCACACCTGTCCAATTTTTATTGTTAAGAAAAAACAAAAATCAAAAAATGAAATTAAGCAAATTTACATACAAAGAGGTGAAAATTCAAAATAAATAAGTGATCAAACAGGTAAATGCGTTAGCATGCCTTTTTGAAGAGAATAAAGAGAATTAAGTACCCGTTGGCCACATTTTGCAAGACGTAACCGGACAAATTGCCCTCCTTTTCTAGAGCTGACCTCCAAATTTTCACCTTTTTCAAGTCGAATTGTTTTTTGTGACTGGGAAACGCTTTTGCATAACAACCGCTCTGTGATCGAACATGTAACGACCAGAACCCGAGAGTCCGAATCGCTAACCGGGTCCTTACCCGAACCCGAGGTCAACTAAGGACACTACCATCCTGTCCTATGCCAATACATAATATACGTGTCATCCCAGGATTTATATAATAATAATAATAATAATAATAAATAAATAAATAAATAAATAATAAAATGAGATCATAGTTGTAAAGTATGTCAAAACGATCTACTAACTCATCAAACCCTGTGGAGGAGCGTCGTACGCTACTTCCCATCCGTGTCCTGAAAAACGTTAAATATAAGGGTTGAGCAAATTGCTCAGTAGGAAGTGCCTAAGACACACCTCTTATGTGTTGGAAATGTACAAGTTTTAAAAACTTTTTGAGGGATTTTGATTCATGGATCTTGATTCATCACATAGAGACAAGTTTTATGTAAAAATAAAATATGATGTATCATTCAATTAATAAATTGAATACTTACATCAAAGGTTTAAGTAAACCTTTAAATCTTTCATCTAAAGTGAATGTTCTCACTTATTGTAAATCCCTTAGCAAGATGTCTTCTCCTTGGATCTGCATCTTCTTAGTAATTGTTTTGCCTTTAGGAACCACTCATAAGCCTCCATGAATGACCTTAGAAAAATAGACTTGTGGGAGCCTCCATTAGATGAGAACACTAACCATAATTTTCTAGAGAGAGAAAATATATTTCTTTTTGCTTTTTCCAAAAAATCACTCCTAAAAACATAGACCATGTATATATATAGGCAATATAAAGATAAAGAAAATGAAACAATAAATCCTTCTCAATCTGTAATTCATATGTCTCAAATCTAATAGAATTCCAATATCAAGTTCGATTATGAGTGAGAATCCTTTGGGCTTATTATTTTATTGGTTACAATGAAATAATACTTGGCCCGATTCATGGACCCAATTCAATTAATTCATAAATTAATTTGTACTCCACTAAAAGAAATTAATTGAACTCCAATTAAATAATAAATAACCTCTAAGTCAATATTGCACTTTGACCCCTTTATGCATAATTAGTTATCGAATAAATAAAACCATCAATTCGACTACTTAATTAATATATTTATTTTGGTACCATTGATTATTTCTGACTCAATCACAATAAAATATTTGTTTGACAAAAATAATAATTTAAATAAATAAATATATAATAAATTATTTTGTCTAAAAACACACGAAGGCATTCGAATTTACTTTGTGATCAACCATAATCAATACAAAATAAATACAAGTATTAATAATGCAACTATTGAAAATATAACCCTCTAACTATTAATTACATAACTACTCAAAGTATTGATTTAAGGATCCCGAAGTATCCGCCGAACAAATCAAAGTAATTATTAATTAATAAAAGAGTTTATACATTTATTATGCTTAAGAGTCAAATGCCATGACGGTGATAGGGAGCAATTGTATACGACGGCTCTCGCAATATATCTCAATCTAACGCGGATCCAGTTCAAATCTTAATTAATTATGAGTCCATCCATAATTACCGATTATGAACAATTTATGATTACTATTTATATTCATGTATTGATCGCCATCACATACATATATAAATATTTCTTGTAATTAAGTGGACACTATCATTTCTATAATAAATCGAAACATAATACATTGAATTAACCAATTATATAAAGTATAAATATTTCAGAAACGTCAGGAACATATGTCACTATAATCCAAATAGAAATTTGCTATGCCAAGGCGTATAAATTCCAACATTATGACCCCGTGAATCCACATTAACCAATTTCAATCTCCAACCGTCTTTTTCTTATCTAACCCTATCCTATTAAATATATACTAGCATATCTCTATCTCCAACGTTATTTAACTAATTCCATACTACTTTCTCATATAACTGTTAATCAATGTTATTTTACTATTTAGTGATTTTTTTAAAGTATGTTGGTGATGTTTAATAAGTTAGTTTTTTATTTTATTTATCATTTAAACAAGGGCAAAAATGGTATAATATTTTTTTTTATTCCAAATCCCCTTTTAAATCCAACTTTAAATTCAATTGGTTCCGAACATAGAAATGGAATTTCATTTTAATTCCAATTCCTTTTCTAATTCCGATTCCTTTTTCCAAATCCTAAAATAATTGATTCCAAACAAAGTGTAAAGGTTTTCTTTTTTTTTTTTTTTTAGTCAGTTTTACCATGTCCCTAAAAAATCTGACGTGGCTTGATTTGGTGATAATTCGGGAATTACTCTTCAGTTTCCTATCATTATTCAAAAATAAAAATTGGATGGGGCTACTATATCATATTATTGGTATGCTCACTCAATCAACATTTCAACCTTTGAAATTTATCTGTTTGAAAAGGAAAAAAAAAATCAACATTTCAACATTCATCATTTTTATTTGAATACAACTTGTTGATTAAATGAGTATTTACCAATAACGTGATGTCTCGCTCATTTAATATCTTATTTAAAAAAATGTGAGTGAAAAAAGTGTAAGAGAAACGTTAATTTAAAAGAAATTATGTATTGTTTTTTTTTTCGAAGAATAAGAAATTATGTACTTAATGTTAAACATATTGTGCATGGACAAAAGCCATAGAGACGTAGCTGAGAGCAACATCATTCTAAAAGAATTGTGAATGAATTACTCTACATGGATGAATTTAAAGATCACACATGGTCTGTAAATGTCTATTAAGTGTAAATGTCTTTTAAGTGTAATAATATATCGAAATATTTCATTTTTTTATATTAAAATTTGAAGTTATTATTTTCTCCTCCTTTCTCTCTCTCAGTCGACCAACCAAACACAATTCCTTTGCACTTTTTGCTTTCCTCTTGTTGATGCAAGAACCTGCACGCTCCGGAACCCTTGGCCCAAAAGATAAGAGAAGTGATGACCGGCGTGGTGCTGGCCGGTGCACTCCAACGGTCAAATTAGTACTTGACGATTCAATATCCGATAAGGATTATATATGAAATTTAGGGCCTACCTTTTTAAGTTGACCGATCACTTCTTTTATAGAAGCATTAATTATAGTAATTGTTGAAGCGAGATTCTCTCCGATCCAAAATGATATTGTTTCCTTCTTATAGGAATGGTAATTGTCGTTACATATGGTAACCAGAGATTTTTTTATGATTTCATCAAAATTTTGGGGAGGATAAATTCTTTACCTTTATCTTATTTCTCACTTGAATTTGAGTTGTTCCTTATCTAATCAAATATTCCGTATCACCTCTCATAACTATTGTAACTAATGTTATTTTTTTCTAGTTTCCTTTCTTTTATATGTTTGGTACAATAGAAAAAGAAAAAAGAAAAAAAAGAAAGAAAGGTAAAGATAACATTAATTAAAAGAGAAAAATAAAAAAATAAAAGGACATGATAGTAATATTAACTACTTATAGTATAATATTAGGTAGATTGATAGATGAAAAATTAAAATAAAAAATAATAATAACTATAAAAAAATAAAAAGAAATTATTTTGATAAATTTACAACTATTTAATTTATTTTGCCATAGATTTTGTGACAAATAAAAAGGTAGTGTTCATACTAACCTAAATCCGTTCAAATCCTTTCTTTTCATTTACTACCCAATTTCTAATATTCCTCCATTTCCATTCCTTTCTTTTCTTTTTCTTCCATCTTCATTATGCCAAACTAGCCCTAACTAACCAATGGGCCTTTTGCCCAAAAAAAAAAAAAAAAAACCTACTGGCCCTTACTATTGAAGAGTAAAGTTAGAACCATCTGTGCAGCTGTGCTTTATCGAATTGAAGAATTGGGGCGCAATGGGGGTCTTTAACCTACCCCAAGGGTTGGAAATGGAGATACTCTCAAGACTTCCAGTTGAATCTCTTATGCAATTCAGGTGCGTGTCTAAACCATCTCGCTCTTTAGTTTCGGATCCGTATTTTGTCAAACTTCATCTCAATCGATCAATTCTCTGCAAGAATTTCAAGAAAATCTTTTGCTCTAGGTTCCCTCCCCAGTCGATAGACTTTGAATCATTACTTGATGATGAAGCAGCGAATTTGGATCGTCCATTTTGGGGTCTATGGGTTCTATAATATATTAGGTGATAATAATGCAGTAGTGAAGTTGGATTGTCCATTCTGGAGTCAACGTAGCAAGGTCTCTGTTATTGGTTCTTGCAATGGATTGATTTGTTATGTTGTTGATGAATTCAACATTATCTTATACAACCCTTCCACTAGAGTCTCCAAGGAATTGCCGGAACTACCACTCTTTGAAACGACTGGTAGCCTTGGTAGGATTAGTTGTTATTATGGGTTTGCTTTGGACTCCGACAACAATGATTACAAGGTAGTTTTGGTAACTAACAACAATTATTCCATGGTATCTGCATGTATTAGATTCTTTAGTCTTAGACACAATTCTTGGAGAATATTACGAGACCTGGGATTGGGTCATTTGCCGAGATTCTCAATGCATAGTAATGGAGTTTTCTTGAATGGAGTTTTTCATTAGCTACTGATATCCAAACCCCGCATTGGTTTGGTTCGCACGGTAATTGTTTGTTTTAATTTATCAAATGAGGTATTTAGTGAACAAATTTGTGGATTCACACATTGGGGGCTTTCTAAGGATGTTGGTATGCACTGTCTATGTCATCTATTTCCAACTTGACCTCTGTTGAGAGAATATGGCGTGAACGCATCTTGGACTTAGTTAATCACCATCTCAAATTTTGGGGGCACTCACATCACACCGTAATGTTTCTTGAGGAATGGTGAACTTCTAGGATCAACATCAGGATTTATAACACAATTAGGATCATACAATACTAAAAAACAGAGATTTACGAGAATTTGTAAATTTTTCCAATTTTTCAATGAGGTTTTGTACGTGGAGAGTCTGGTTTCACCCAACAATTTTGATGGGAATGGGAATGACAAGCAACTGCAAGTACTGGGGCCAATTGCATAAACATTATTTATGATTATGCTGATGTGACTGGTTTTCATTTCATAGTTCTTCCTTCTCTGGCAATGGATGAATGTTGAATCTGAATGTGTCAGACTTCGAAAGAAAAAAATATTGAAACTGATATGCAACTGGTGCGCTTTATTTCTTTCCTATTTTTTTCTATATATATTTTTTCCTGGTGAATTGCATGCTGAAAATCTATGTTAGTCAGATATTGAAAAGTTGACAGAGACGATTAAACTGTTTGACCATTTCTTTGTGGTAAGAGGGGTTGCTGTTATTATTTTGATGGAAATTTGTGCATCTGTTTTTTGTCAAGTTTTTGGGAGGTTCTCATTTTTTATTTATTATAAGTTAAAGTTGTTAGTGCTCAACACATAATTAGATATCTAGAGTCAAGGATGACCTGACTATATGTTAAGTTCAATGCAATCACTGGTGTTCTCACACACATTAGATTTGCTTGATTAAACCAACCATATGAATAAGGTCTTTAGTTTGAATAGACTTGTGTGTATAGTGTATTTATGTGGTTGTTTTTTTTATTCACTTGTTTATTGTTCTTTGCTAATTTTGATCTGACATGCCATAGTTATACATTATTTTGTCATGTATATTTAAGAATATACCAAGGACCCTTGTTTTGCATCTTACTAGAGAAGAATATTATGCTACTCCGTGTTTTTAGATCCAAAACCAATGCCTTTAGGTATCAACAAGCAGCAGAAGCCTCATTCTTGAGCTTTCTTGCTTTTAGCTGCCACTTAAAACAAACAAATTGAAACGAAGTTCAATATGAATGCATGAGATAACTATGGTTTATGTTAATTGTCTATTTTTATTTGAAATCTAATACAGAATATGGACTTACCCACATGGTGAATATATGGCTAGAAGGATGGTTGATGTGAATTTGTGAGGAATCAACCAGATCTCAATAAATTGTTTATACAATATAATGATATATATGGTTGCATGCTAGGATTTATGTGAATGACTGACTGACTGTAAAAATGAAATGGTGATGGAGTCTCCACTAAATTAGGCAAGAGTAAGTGGAATGCACATATTGCACCAATAAAATGGTTATTTGAACAATTAAAATACATAGATATCAACGTGTACATAAATTAAGCTGAAGTCAATCAAGTGCAGTGGAGTGGAGGTTCTGTCATGTTGCCTTGTGATGTCAAAGCATAGTTAGATCATGGATGCATACTTTCTGTAAAGTTTCTTTACAATTTGTCATCAGTGAAGTGGTATAATTTAGATGAGAAATCTGGAAATCCTCCCGGTTAATTGATTACTAGGTTGCTGAATCATCTTTAATTTAGCATTTAGTTGAAATTATTACAATTCTTGGTGGTGCATAATCCAACTAATCCAGATATCTGCAGCTGCTCCATTTATATTTTAGTAGGTTTTGATATAACACACTTCTAATATAAAATCTCAAGACAAGGAAATATGTTGAGAATATGTTGTTTATAAAAAAAAAAAAGTCAAATGTAAACGCATATCCTTTGTAAATATAATCAAAATCTATAAAAATGCTGCCATAATCGGTCAGATTCAGCCAATCCCACATACGAGACACACTAGTTAATATTTGTTTTATATATGTGTGTGTGTGTGTGTGTTACCAGTACATATGTTTGAAGTAGAATCAGTAGGTATGTTTTTTAGTATCATCAGGTTTCCGAAAGGTTCTAGTGGGTTTATCATACAGCTTATACTTCTGAAAGTATTTGACATTGCGAATTCGAGAACGGGAGTGCCAAAGTAGCAAAATTAAGTTACAAATAGTGAAAAAAAGAATAAGAACACACGCGGAGCGTAAGTGCGGCACCCATTGAGAAGGATTGTGACTTAGGTCTTGCATCCTCTATGTCAATTTAATTTTGTCAGTTTGCTTTTTGTTCAGTTTGTTTAATATATATATATATATATATATATATATATATATATATTGAAGAAGATTAAGAAAACATACTTTAAATATCACCACTTTTTCCATACATACTTTCTTGTAAGCATTTATAATCTAATTTAGATGCAAATGAGGTGTATATGTGTGTGTGTGTGTGTATATATATATTGATAAGTGTATATATATATACATTCTAATATCTTATCAAATCCGCTTTTCTTGCTTTTGTTATTTGAAATAAGCTCCAAGTATGCATAAACTAAAATGCCACTGGACAATTTGTCTCACTCCTTTTTTTTTTAAGATGCATTTGAGATTCACCTATATTGATGTCCTGCCAATAAAAGGCGATTCTGCATGTCTGTAATTATACATTAGGCCTTACCGATTGGACAATCTTCTTTCTAGTTGTGTGTCTCTTCATTTGAAATGAGGTTTCAGTTTTAGATGATCCTAGAAATGCAATGTGAGCAGTAAACAGTTGAAACGTCCTATCTGTCTCTTGCTTTATCTTTTAGTTTACTTATCTCGGTTTTCAGAAATAAATTTTGTTTTAAAAAAAAAATTACATATTATTTGTTTTTTTCTTTTCATACTTTGTGAAGTTTTCCTTTGTATTCTGTTTCCTTTCTGGATTAAACCTCCTTGGAAACCAATAAAAGGGTTTCAAAAACTAGAGAACAACACAAGCGTCAAGACCTACTGCAACTCTCTCATGGCCCTTCAAACCCTAAACTCCCGAATCCCCTCTACCATTCTTTATAAATTCATTGATTTACCTCCCCCCCCCCCCCCCCCCAAAAAAAAAAAAAAAAAAAAAATGGAAAAAGAAAAGGGTGAACCAGGAGAATAGATTATCTTCGTTTAGACAAATGTTACTGTGTGATACAGAGATCTGTGGTAGAACTTGCATTTCATGATTTTCCATTATTACTGTCTGATCATTGAAAATTCCTTGCGAAAAAGCCTTGACCCGGCCTGATCTTAGTTTGATGCTGCCAGTATTCGACTATACAACAACACCCTTGTGCTGGCATTGTTGTTTAACTAAACCCCACACATATCCTAGAAAACACTTTATTGAAATGTGTTACATTTAGCTGGTTAAAATTACGTAACAGCATACCATTTATAATGTTTTATGACCAAGTTTACAGGACATCCTTTTTTTCTTACTAGTATTTGTGCCTTTATGGTGTAGCTTTTTAATTACTTATTGCTACTAGTTTCAATTCAATTATCCTTGAGTTTCAATTCAAATTTGGTTATGTAATTTTAACAAACAGTATCAGTTCAAAATATTATGTGCTTCAAAACTAGTAGAAATGCAGGATTTGTGATTCCGCTAGCTAAAATTTCATGAAATAAAAGGGTGTCAAGGCTGAGAAGATGATGTTCTGGACGAAGATTTGGAGAAGAGTGTGTTTATACTGGCTGTTTATATATGCTTTTATGGCATATAAATGTTTCTTTATTAAGCTTATCACTATAATTATGATCAATTTAATTAGTTTTGAAAACCTACTACACATAGGTGTATGTTCTTTTCTGTTGACCAGGACTTGAGTAGATCTAACCCAGCTACAAAATCCTAGTCCCGAACTGGACAAGAAAATTTTAGCTTAAGAATCCTTTAAAGCCCAGTTTGGTTGGAAAGAGATGGAGGGAAAAGAAAAGATATTTTTTTTCATTATAAAATTTTGGAAGGAAAATAAATCAAATAAAAGGGTTATTATTATTTTATTTCTTTTCTTTTATCAACCAACAAAACAAGATTAACACCAATAGGCCAAACAACCCTTAAGGGAGAACAGACCAATTTGGGCAAAACAAATGGCCCAGGCGCTATACCATCCAAACCTTAACATTAAAGAATAACTAAAAACCCGAACTAACGGACTATAACTGCCGTTAATTGAGGTTCTTAGTCAATCAAAGATGGTGACAATTGTCACTTCTTATAAAATACAGTAGATAATTATACAAATTTTAATATTTTTTTATTTTGTAATAATTATCATTTATAATAATTATTCTCAACTATATTATATTAAAAATAATTATGCTTTCATTTAAGTAACCTACTATTAAATGGGACTACTTGGGCAACTTAAGTTACCCTGCAATTCATATTTTGTTGTGGGTCTAATATGTCATGAGCAGAGGTTTAAGAAATTTTAATGTCTGCCATCTGGTATGTTCGGTTCATCCAATTTTCTTCCCCATTTTATTTAAACATATTGCATGAATCATCCATACAATTATATTATCGTGCTAAGGATGGGAGAGCTCACCAAAATGAACGTTAGAATCTCATAATATTTCTCCGAGTATGAGGCAATAAATTACCTATTTGGCTAAAAAAAAAAAAAATCATTTCAAAGATCCATGTCGAGTATGAGGCAACAAGGTACCTATTTATCATTTGAAAAATTAACATTAAACTATTTTGTCACAGGTGGTGCATTCATCCTTCGTTAGGTAGGAAGGAATGAAGGAAGGTGGAGGGAAGATAGAAAAGATGGAATAAATTTATTTCGTTCGGAAAGAGGAGAAATGGAGAGAACGAACAATAGGATGAATTAATAATCCTTTCTCATTTATAAAATTTTATCCCTCCAAATATAATCGGAAGAGAGGAGGAAAGACAAGTGGCGCTCTTATAAAAGGTTTAAATTACAATATTATTCTTCATAAATTACAATACTATAAATAGTGATAAGTATTATGATACAAATAAATTTAAAAACTCTATTCTATTCTTTCTTAACTAACACAATAAATTGTCATTTTTTTTTCTTCCATCTAAAGGAATAAAAAAAGATGACACAATCTCTCACTATGAATGTCTATTCTCTCTTTTTATCAAACCACTCAATTTAAATAGACGAATTAAAAAAAATCACGCATCTATAAATTTGTCGTCTAAAAAAAGTATATTGATAAACTTATTAAAATAATTTTATTTTCTCTCCTTCTTTTATCAAAAAATTTTAAATTAATATTTTTCTATTTTCTTTGTTAATCAACCAAATACAATTCCTTTCCTCTATTTATTTATTTATTTTTTGTTTTTGTCCTAACTCTTTGTAAACTACTCGGCTCGATGTGGATTGTGGCCTCAACTCGTTTTAATAAACGAATTTAACTAAAATAAAATGATTAGGCTTGTAACATACAAAAAGTTCGCTTAAATTATTAATCATCTGACACGGCTTGTAAGGCCTAAATAATATCACTCATTTCTAAAACCCAGTAGCTAAAATCCATCGCGTGTGTGTATGTATATATATAACCCTAATCTCATTTTCCGTCTCAACCCATTTTCTCTCTCATTTCTCTCATATTCCTAAATCTGCAAGTGGGTTTTGATGGCAGAAAATCGTGGTGATCGGAGATTGACAGTGTAAATGGAGATCTGCCGAAGCTCAGTGTAGCGATTAGGTACGAGTATGCATATATATATATATATATATATATATATATATATATAAACTTACAAATGCATAATTTATTTGTAGATTTCTAAATATATAATGATATATGTGTGTTTGTGCGTGTAATATAGGTGTATCGCATTCGAGTTTCGAGCCTAGTGAGTTCAATCGGAGCATTACCGGGCTAGTTCGTCTCAAGCTGTGCTTTCAGGAATCGAAAAATTGGGGACGCAATGGCTGTATTTAACCTACCTGAAGAAATGGAAATGGAGATACTCTCCAGACTTCCAATTGAATCTCTTATGAGATTTAGGTGCGTATCCAAACAATATCGCTCTTTAATTTCTGATCCCTATTTCGTCAAATTTCATTCCAATCGATCAATTCTATCCAAGAAATGCCAGAAAATCTTTTCCTCTAGTTTGCCTCCCGAATCAATAGACTTTGAATCATTACTTGACAAGAAGAAGATGGAAAACGATAGTAATGATGGTAGTAATGCTGTAGTGAAGTTGGATTGTCCATTGTGGAGTGAAGATAGCCACGTCCATGTAATTGGTTCTTGCAATGGCTTGATTTGTTATGTTGTTGATTGGTTGTACATTATCTTATACAACCCTTCCACTAGAGTCTCCAAGGAATTGCCAAAAGCACCACTCCTTGAAAAGGCTGGTAGGGTTCGTTGTTCTTACGGCTTTGCTTTTGATTCCTCTGAGGATGATTACAAGGTAGTTTTCGGAACTCATAATAATGGCACTATAAGTATCATGTTCCATATGTTTAGTCTTAGACACGATTCTTGGAGAAGAATACAAGACCTGAGTTTGAGTCATTTAGAGATATTCTCATTGTATGATTTTGGAGTTTTCTTGAATGGAGCTCTTCATTGGCTACTTATACCCGAAGGCGACATTAATTTTGAACCACTTCATGGGGTAATTGTTTGTTTTGATTTATCAAAGGAGGTGTTTAGTGAGATGTCCCTAGGAGTTCAGGGCAAAACTTTTTTGTCGTTTCGCCCCTTGGGGGCTTTTGAAGAATGTTTGTATGCACTGTCTCGCCCATCTAATGCTAATGGAACTTTTGTTGAGGAGGTGTGGTTGATGAAGGAATATGGCATGAACGCATCTTGGACTAAGTTTATCACTATCCCAAGTAATGTGGGACTGGACCCCACACCGTTATGTTTATTGCGGGATGATGAACTTCTGCTGAAGATTGAATCAGGATCAGGAACAGAATTAGGATCATACCATACTAAAAAAAAGAGATTTACGAGAATTTGCAATTGCCCCCATTCTTCCGAACCAGTTTTGTATGTGGAGAGTCTGGTTTCACCCAACAGGTTTGATGGGAATGACAAGCGACCCCAACCGGCTGGGCTGGGGCTAATTGCAGTGGGATTGTTTATGCTTTGGTTGATGTGGCTGATTTTCATTTCGTTCGTCTTCCTTCTCTGTCGATGGATGAATGTTGGATCTTGAATGTCAGACTTAGAGAGGAAAAATATTAAACCTAGAGACAGATATGCAACTAGTGTGCTGATTTTCTCTTTTCCTTAAATTCTTTTTTATGTTATTATTATTTTTTTTTCATCCCTGGTGAATGGTATTCTGAAAATCTATGTTAGTCATATATTGAAAAGTTGACAGTGACGATTAAGCTGTTTGACCATTTCTTTGTTGTAAGAGGGATTGCTGTGATTATTTTGATGGAAATTTGTGCATCTGTTTCTTGTCATGTTTTTGGGAGGTTTTCATGTTCTTTTGATTATAAGTTAAATTTGTTTGTGCTCAACCCACTTAATTAGATGTCTACAATCAAGGATAGCCCTAGAAGCCTCATTCTTGTTTTTAGCTGCCACTTAAAACAAACAAATTAAAACTAAGTTCATTATGAATGCATGAGATAACACTATGGTAATCATCCAATTTATGTTCATTGTTGATTTTATTTGAAATCTAATACAGAATATGGACTTTACCCTGATGGTGAATAAACAGCTAGTAGGATGCTAGATGTGAATTTGTGAGGAAGCAACCAGATCTCAATAAATTCTTTACATATAATTGCATGCTAGGTTTTGTGTGAATGACTGTATAATAAATAAAGTGAAATGCACATATTGCACCAGTGAAATGGTTATCAGAACAACTAAAATGTTGGGTTTGAAGGAAATTTATGCTGCACTATAAATAGATATATCTCAACTTGTAGATAAATTAAGCTGAAGTCAATCAGGTGCAGTGGAGTGGAGGTTCTGTTATGTTGCATTGTTAGATCGTAGATGCAATTTTTCTCTGAAGTTTCTTTACAATTTTTCATCAGTGAAGTGGTTTGATGATTACTAGGTTGCTGAATCATCTTTAACTTAGCATTTAGTTGAAATCAATACTTAATCATCATGACACATTCCCTTCAGCAAACTAACATAATGTTGTGTGATATAATATTGACACCCTAAATTAAATCTATGTATTTGCATCACCATTTTTTTTAGTGATCTCCTTTTTCTCTAGTAAAGGGAAGTAGGATTAAAAGAAAGTAACTACACAAAGATATTGGGGCCATAACCCAGGAAAGAAATCCCAAAAGGAGCATGCAACTAGTGTAGTAACAGAGTAGTGCCTAAGACATCTTGAGCAATTTTTTAGTCTAAAAAAGTTCCCTTCTGGCCCCCCACACACACACACACAAACACACACATATTCCCTCTTTTTCATTAAATATCTCTCTCTATTACATGTATATATTTACTGATATATATTCAGATAGAAAATTCCTAAATGAAGAACAAAGAACATTCCTTTTTTGGTAGGCTATTATGTCCTTTCCATTTGATAATTAGTTAATCACTCCTTCCATGTCTACTACGACTTATAATAAAACTAACCTGATCAAAAGCATATAAACACTTATTAGGGGTTGGTTAACTTTCTCATCCGACAAACACCTTTAGAAATTGCTTTTTTAATGACCTTTATGTGTCTCATGGTGAGCACCCAATATTTTTTAATATCACTTTGCTAGTCAATCCTACCCAAAATGACCGGCAGTTTTAATATCCAATATAGATTGGAAATTTGTTGAGATAATTCATTAATAATCCGAATTCGATATTCTATCAGCTAAACAAATTAGATATGAATTTTGGTCAATTTAATCAAATAATAATCCGAACATAATATATTATATAATATTTTAATTATATATATCAAATGCTATAATACATGGTAGTATATGCATATTATCAAAATCTTCTGTAATTGTTTCCTCATCTTTTTCTTTCCTCTACCTAATATAATTTTCTACACCTTTTTTTTTTAATATTTTATTTGTCTTCCCTTTTCTCTTCGTTATATTCTAATCATTGTTTGTCTTTCTCTTTAAATATTAATTTTTATTTTTTTTTTTTAAAAAAAAAACCTACACCTTTAACTTATAAAAACAAAAAAAGAAAAGAAAAAAAAGCTACACCTTTAATGAATTGAATTATCAATTTATCACATTGCATATCCAAATTGGATATAAATTGATTCTTGAATTATTCATGGGGTTATAGATTGGATTCAATCATTTAATAGCTTTGTCGAATTTGGATGATTTAGGTCTGATTCAATCCGAGTCCGATTCGTTTATAGGTCTAAACCTAACTAGTCCAGGCATCATAGCTTCCACAATACTCCATTTATAATTTGATAGGTCTTGATATAACACGTTTCTAATACAAAATCTCACCCAAGACGAGGAAAAAATGTCAAGAATACGTTGTTTGTAATGAAGAAGTCAAATGTTGCAGCAGAGAAAAGAAATGTGATGGCTAATATTATCTGGGGTTGGCGATAGTGGGGAGGCTAATGATTTCAACTCGTAAATTCTCCGCCATTTTCATAATCTATCACCTACTTTAGTTTCAATCCACAATGTAGACGTATCTCCAATGTCAATATAATCATAATATATAAAGACTATAATAATGCTGCCATAATCGGTCATATGCACATATGAACCACACTAGTTAACGTTTGCTTTATATATGTGTGTGTGTGTGTGTGAGAGAGAGAGAGAGAGAGAGTATATAAATGTATTTTTTCTAAAAATCAAACAAATTCTAAGTCAACAAATGTATTTCTTTTCAACGAGAACCCGTTAGGAGCCGTCTCTAACTTTTCTTCTGTTCTCTCTCTTCCCTAGTCGCTCCTCCCCTTCCGATTTGCTCCATGAGAGTGGGGAGGTGACTTTGCTTGTCTTCCACACGTTAATAATCTCGGCGTGTCTCAATAAATTCGCCCTGTGAGTGTCGTTTTTTTGTTTTTGTGTGACTAGATCTGTTCTTGTTTGGTTTGTTTCTGGCTCGACAGGGTGGATTTGTTGTTTTCCTTTCGGCTAGATCTCTGATCTAGGTTGAATTTTGTTTTCCCTAACTTGATTTGATCTTGTGCAGGATTGAATATGTGGAGGTGCCTTGTGGATGTAACTTTGGAACACCTTTGGTCACTTCAGTTGCTGTCCTTCTTTCTTGGTGGTTTCCGTTCTGGAGTGGTGGCTCTTTCTCAACAAATCTGAAGCTTATTTTTCATTTTATTATTTCGCTTCATGATTTGTATGTATTTATCTGATTTGTCTTATGTTTCTGTATTGTCACTTTGGCTCTACTTTTGTGTCTTCTAAATTTAAAAAATAAAACGGGAACCGTTTAATCTCTTGAAAGTTCACGTTTTTTTTTTTCAAACCTCGCTGGACGACTAAAAGGCTCAATCATTGACCCATATTTCAACCTGTTTGTCAAAAGTAAGAACTTGCTACAACAGTCAATATTGAAATGGCCACGAGGTACTTCAAATTAATAAAGTTTCATAATCAACATGACTGTATTCTAATAAATAAATATATATATATATATATATATATATATATATATTTATTTATTTATCTATACCCTTATTTTAAAGATCTTTCGTTTTCATATCAAGTAAATCAGGAGTATTAGTTGCAGTGTTTTGTTGAGGTATAGAGAATCACTGTCTCGTATCAAGTAAATAAAATGAAGGAACCGAAAAAAAAAAAAAACCTCCCAAGAGAAATGGCAAAACAGACCAATGTACTTTGATAAGAATCTTGTATCCAGGGTTTCGAATCAACATATCACATCGTGTAGTAACGTTATAATACTATAAACAAAAAATTCAATACATTTACGTAATTGTTACATTACAAATGTAAAGAAGTTGGATTTACAATTTAAAGTTGTCACATATATGACAAAATTTCGCTAAGAGAAATAGCAAAACAGACCAATGAACAAAAGGAATTGCAGAATACAAACTCCAGGTAAGGCCTCTCCCACAAAATCCAGCAAAAGGAATAGCCTAGCTTTCTTTTGTTCAATTCAATATTCGTCACAATATAATAAAGCACATTTCAGAAATGGACCAAGAAAAATAATATCAGAAGACCACCTGTGTTTTATTTCTAATCTTATTTTAATCATGTCACAACACCTCATTTGGCTGCTAACTTCATGCATGATGCTAATCCTAGCCACCTTATATTTATATGATATTGTAACGTCTGTGTTTATATATGGATATATATGTAGTTTAATTGGAAATGATATAAGAAAAGCATGTCTAATTGTTAATTTCTCCATGCCTATTGTGTTGATGAAATGTTAGAATTTATATGAGAAAGCATGTGAAATTGTGTGGTATTAACTTTCTCATATTTAAAAAAAAAAAAAAAAGGGGCATGTCCAAAGCATTCATAACATGGGCACGAAAAAAGGGGATGAAATGATTTGGAATAAATGAAATAGGATTTTGGGGAAGTGTTTCGATAAAGTGTTTTGAGAAAATCCGATCGCTGCGGAGTCACCAAAGGGCCGGTATGTTAATATAGCCTAGAGGGAATTAGGGAGATTGCCCTAATGTGGTTGAGCTATCTAGGCCCCAAATGACGCTGCGGAGGTACCAAAGGTCAGGGATAATAGCCAATCCTTTTCTCGTGTTGTTGCGGAGTCACCAAAGGGCGGGTTATATTAACAGTTTGTGTAGTGATGATGTTTTTCTGAAAATGGGGAGTGACATGCATAATATTGCATTTATGGCACGAGATTTATTTGCTTTGAACTTAAAAGTGATATTGTGTTTTTCCCGGCTTTGCATGATCCCAAATTCCTATCGTTCTATTCTCTATTTGGATTCACGGGATTTCAAGAGATGCGTCTTAGGTACTACCTACTGAGCAATTTTGCTCACCCCTTTTATTTAACATTTTTTTTCAGGAAATGGGAAAGAAGTGACGGATGACATTCTACTACAGACTTAGTATGGGTTAGGAGCTTATGTTGTTGTTTTGTACTTAGGTCTCACTATTTTTGTAAGACTAAGCATAATGTATTTTGTACGACGACTTATGGACTTCTAATATTATAATTATACCTATAGGCTGTAACTTTTATATAAGCGGTCAAGCATGGACATTTAATCTTAATCTTGTATTTTGGAATTGTAATTATGATATTTGGATGATATAGTATGTGGTTGTACCACTATGGAGTGTATTATATGATATTTGTGTTGGGATAGGTTTAAAATTCTTTTAAATATGTTGTTGTAGGACGATTTTTAGTGAAGGTCATGCCGAAATTTTTTTTAAAATTTTTGGCATCAGTTAGGATCATTACAAATATTCAAACTTTCAAGCTTATAAAATTGGAATTAATGG